TGCTGGTCTCGGAGTTGGTTTCGGGTCAAGTCCAGGACTGGGGTCTAGGGTCTGGGCTGGGCGTCTTTTCAGGTTCGAGTCCCGAGTCTGGTTCAGGATGACTTGGTGGCTTCGGGCAACGGCTGGTCAAATGGCATCCGCTCTGATTTTTTTTTCGGACCTCTCAAGTTGGCCGCTGGCACCTTGCACGCTTGCTTGCATCCCTTTCTGGCTCTACCTTAGATGTCTGCCAGCTGAACAGGACGCACAAAAGAAAAGAATCAATTTGTTGGAATTAAGAAAAAAAAATTGGAACAACTGTTAAAACTTCAGGTGAAGAAGCTCTAGAGTGACATGTTTAAGGTTGAAAACTCCTTCGAAAACGTGTGCACCACAAAGGGCCTCCCCAGTACGGTTACGCTGCTCTCCTTTGTACTGCGGAGCTCTGATGCCCATCCGCATCCCGGGACGACCACATCGGTGTGCGGATTTCTGTGTCTTTCGAAGCTGAGGAGATCTCCTCTACAATGGAAAGTGGGCCGGCCTGCCATGCCTCGGCCGTTTCTGGGCAGGCGCGCGGGTCGGGCAGCACACGTCCTAGGCCTTGGTGATGGGCTGATTGTAGCAGCAAAGCGCCGCGAACCATGCGGTGCGAAACGCGAACTGCGCCGGTGTGTAGGTTTTGACTGTGCTTGTATGTCGGTGCGCAGCAAGCGCCTGGGAGAGAATACGGCCGTGCGGGGCTTTGATGTACGAGACGAGGCCCGCATCTTGCGGTTATGCCGGGCCTAACATTGCTCGCTGACCTGCTGAGGTCATCGTCATGGCCCGTGGAACAATACCCGGGCCTCGGTCTTGCGGTCGCGCGTTACTAGGGAAATTTTTCACATGTATTACCTGGCATGCGGCCAATCGATGCAAGAACATCAGTAGCCTGCTGAGCAAGGGACGAAAGGCGTCACACCGCGCAATTTTGGAAGGCACTATATGTCTGGTGTGTGTCGCACGTGGGCGAAGTGGGCAACGCACATTCTATGGATATCATGAGCGCAGGCGATCTCTGAATGAGTTGCGGCCTGTCAGTTACGACATGTTGTTATATCGCTGGAGCTTCTCATTCCACTTCTGCAAAATCATGTGGTGTTGTGCAGCCAGTCTGCAGTGTCACGGCAATTTGCTTTGCATTATGGGGTGGCTGTCTGCGGGCTCGTTGCCGTTTAGACACGCTCTTGGCTCAGATTGCGAGTTTGCAGGACTCCTTCTCTGCCATGTTGCAGCGCTGGGGCAACAAAACCTAAACTTTCAGCCCTGGAATTCTGCTGTACCTGCAGTTGGACAAGGGCCCTTAAACAAAAACAAAAACTATCAACCCAAACCACTGAAACCCTAAACTGATTGTGGGATGATCGTCATGAAATACCTTAAGTTATGGAAGGATCCCTGAGATGATTTAAGTTCCTGAATTACTGGGTAAAAGCGACGACTGTCTTCCGCGACGCCGACGCCCTCGTCGTCTCTTGTTACGCCGCGTGAACGGGTTGCGGCATGGATGGCCACTTTGATCGCCAGGCGACCTCAGGCAAATGAGTTGGGGCCAGTCTTCTACAACCTGGTGGAGNNTCATTTCTGGGCGTCTTATCAGTCTCCTCTTCAGCCACCTCTCGTGGGAGGAGCGCAGGGCGGTCAGCCTTTGCAACTTCTCGCCATCCATCCAATCTAATTTCCTATGGGACCTCAAGTAGCCTGCGGGCTTTGTCGCTGCTCTGGCAACTTGCACGCTGACTTGCAATACCCAGGTGTCTTACTCTGCCTTGAAGCTGCCAGTATGAGCCATTGCGCGACCCATGCGTTACGGGAAGCGGGGCGATGGACTTG